GGAGGGAAAGGAAGATTCCTCTGTTGTCTTTGTCACTTGTCCCCAAGTCATGGGTGTGTTTTAGTATTTGTGGATCTCAGTACTTGCACCTTTGGGTTCTCCTCCTGGGTCACCCTTGAGAATGTTCACACGGGCAGGCTCAATGTGAACAGGATCCACCACAGGGCTGGGATGTTTCTCTCTCCATGCTTTCACCTGCTGGGAGGCCAGATACAAGACATTCTATTGTCTAAAAGAAATTAAAAGAAAAGCATTTCCTTGACGCCTTGTTACTAAGTACAGTGGGACACCCCAATTTCCTGTATTGTTGCCCTTCTACAGGACTTGGGCCCTAGGCCTACTCAGTAGATTTGTTCTTTCCACAGTGAAGATCTGATGGAGGGAATTTACTGCCTGCAACCAGATTAGAAGGAGTTAGATGAAGAAATGTACTTGTCCACCATGTGTATGTAGCCATAATGCCTTTTCTGTGTAATTGTTTTCCAACAATTTTGGGGGGAGAATCAGAACATGTATAATCAAATGTTGACCAGTAGAGCAGTAAGGCATGTTGGGAAAAGAATGGTCTAGAAACTGTTCCAAATAGACTCAAATAGTGATTGTAATCCAGTGACTTCTAGATCCCTCTGATGATGGATTGTGATACTTTCAGTTTAGTCACCTCAAGTGTTTCTTTAGAAATATAGTCTCTCAGCAGCCCCGTGTGTGTCAACAGTCAGGTTGGGTTGTGACCTTGCTTGATCATGCTGCCTCCTGGGAAAGCATTGGAGACGTTTCCCTCTTACTGGCCCATCAGAGCCACAGTGCACCCTGGTTGGTTCCCATCCACTTCACTCCAGCAACGTCCCTGCTCAAGAGTTTGGTAACTCACCCATATTTACAATCTTGAATTGAAGACTACCTCATTTCCTGGGATCTAGTTGGCCTTGGAGCCAGAGGCTAAGCCTTGGCTGTTCTCCTGATTCTGTTATATTTCCAGTTCTGACTCTAAACTGTAGTTGTTGAGCACTCATAAGAGAAGATCACTGTCATCAGCACTTCACTGGGAGCAGTGTGCTTAAATACTATAATTATATTTGAATATCTATCACTTTGAAATATAAAGTACATCCAGAGGACTATTGTATATCAGTTATGATTGCTTTAATAGTTAAATTGCTAGAGTGTTGGTAGGAAAAATTTATATAAATTTTACAAGTAAATCATGAGATCAAGTGCCACATGCAAACTTTCAGCATAACAAGTATGAGATCATTATTCTTGTAATACACTTAAATATCCATGTCACTGTAGAACATAGACAAATAGCTGTTCATGACATAACTAGGTTTTATTAAACTATCATTTGACTGGTGACCTCATGCTGTGTTGTCATATACCTCCTGTTAGAGTAGCTGGAGCATAAGAGAAAGGAAAATAACTTAATCTAAAAGAAAAAGCCTGTTACCATAAATCCTCCCAGTTTTATATCTTATCTGACGTATAGACCCAGAAGGCATGAACATTTACTAGACCATGTTATCAACAGTAAAGAATACCATCATTATAAGGAATTCTTTGTTTCTCAATTTAGTTTTGCATGAAGGGCATCCTTTAATACAACCTTGTTTTTTTTTTTTTTTTTTTTTTTTTTTTTTTTTTTTTGAATGTGGGAGTAACGGGGATCGACCCTGTGCTTCCAAGACAGGCAAGTATACTCCTGAGCTATCTCCCCAACCTATGCCATATTGTTTTACCCACAGAGGGTATCATATTTTGTTGATGGCCAGTATAGTCATTGTACTTATGTTTAGCAGTGTTTATTGGAGCGAGTCTCATTCACGGCTTTGGAGATTACTGGGGTTCAATTAGTGAACAGAAACTGGAACAACATTTTTCCAAGCAGCTTCTACTTTACTCATTCATGAAAGTGCAGTTCAACAATTTTTTTTCAAAATTTTATTGATAAACAGATAGCAATGAGACAGTTTCAAATCAAATCAGAAGTACAGTTTCAACAAATAATACACTGCATATATTATTCTTAGTGGTTAATTGCTGTACAAGATGCAGACTTGAGATCCTATTTACAAACCAGTCCAACAATTTTGCTAAGTGTAGGCTGTCATTGAATTATCTTAACAAATTTTGATGATGCATGAGAAGCAGACCATATTAATCAAGACATTATTTTTAATCAATGAGAGATAACAAAGAATAGTAATTTTTAGTGTTTTTAAGATCAAAACTATAAATAGGCTAGTCAAAAACTTTCAGATTGTTTAACAGGGATCTCTTGTAATAAGACTTGGAATAAAAGACTGATAATCAATAT